ATTACATGTTACACAGACTGCAGTTAATTTCCAGTATAGTCCCTCAATAACAAGATGCAGAGATATGCTTGACACACATGGGTTGGATAGACAGTGACATAATACAACTCACCTCACTCCCACTGCAGCATGCCCTATGCAGAGGTGTGAGCCATTTTGAATCTTTGGTGTTAACCCTTGCACCACTCAGTATCAGTGCTTCTACAATGCAGGGATCTCCCCTGAAGGCAGCTGCATGTAATGGGCTGCGTTTCTCACTGTCCTGGAGATTCACATCCTCCTTCTGCCCCAGTAACAGCTGCACCTCCTCAACATCCCCTATGAAGATTGCTTTGACGAGAGGCGGCTGGAATGGACACAGCACAGGGGGATAACAAATTAATTTGTCAAGGTCCGATATTTCTTATCCAATTATCTGGTCTGACAGCACAAAACTACCTACTTATTCAGTGTAGAGCATAATCTGAGTTCCACACATGCAAATATTACTGCAATATTTAATTTTGTTTGGTTAAATCATGTTAGATTATAAAGGGCTGAGGTGTACTCTACACATTTACCGGATATTTTAATTGCCCACTGCAAGTGAAATTTTAGAACTATCTGAAATATAAATAGAATTACCTCGTCTGACAACTGTTGTATTACCATGCTCTTTCCTGTTGTCTCTCACTGAACTCCCTGCTTATAACAGGCGACAGATTTCTCACCAATAATCATAAAATGACAAAATGATTAAATAATTTTCGTAGCATTAAATTTAGACGAACTATATCATTGTTTTCGTGTGATTAAGTCATCCGAAGGCATGTAATTACAAAAATGTAGGCGATTTTAAATTAAAAACTTGAAATGTTGCCATTGCAACAACTGAGCGCCAAATTATTATCAGAGTACTATATATTATGTACATTTTTCCATTATCAGACATTAATTTTTCCTGGACGCCTAAAAAATTAACATTACTGACAAAGATAACCTGAAGTCACTGTTGTTCAAGCAGAGCTAGTGCAAGCTAGCAAGTATGTATCGAACGATGACAAAGATATCTTACGTATCGACTTCATGTTCAATGCCTTCAGAGTACACAAGCCTTCGTAGTTGGCAATGTAACCAGTTTTAAGGAAATGACAAAAAGATATAAACTAACCTTTGCTAAATTGGAGGCACATTTAGATTTCAATAAGTAACTTGCACAATGGTTCCATCAGGAGTTAAAGTAGTCGAAAGTAAAATTAAGCTTTTTTGATAGATTGGAATGAGAATTTTTACAATGAAACAAGGACATCTACCTTCAAAGTTTTTGGCCTAATGAAATTTTTGACTTTCCGCAGAGCTTCTTCAAGACAATAAAAAATTTATATAATATTTACAAAGGGTTATCTTGTTGGTTCTTGGCTCTACAACCCGGTTTGTGGGTTTCCGCCGCCTCAATTTTCGGATGTTTCTTGGTCTTTGAAAAGTGCATCTGTGAGTAGTTAGTGACCAGCCCACTGACTGAACAATTTCTGCCAGAGCCATCTAACAGTTAATCAGGAGACTTGGGTGAGAAAAGGCCGCTGAATTTTTATTACGAAACATCTCATATCAAGATCGTAAGAGTCATCTTACTATCAAAATTATTTTCCTACACTTATTGCACTGGTATGGCAATTACAAATGCGAATGTGCTGCCATCTCAAAAAGGCAAACTGCACCTAAAGAAATGGGCGCATGTGCTTGAACACATAAATTTCCAAAGAGTCGTGGTCGTGCGAATAATCTACCTTTCTTTCAACTAATATAATTGATACTCCAATGCTCTGACACAAAAATCACTATTACTTTTATAATTATTGCATTAGGTGTCGTATTATTTAATTATGCTGTCAGTAACTCAGCCTAAAATGCATTGAATGACAGGATGGTTAATGAATTGGAAGGGATTTGATAGTGGTCATGGCTAAATTGAAGATATTATCCTAGAATTTGCCTGGAGAAAACTACAAAAAAAGAAACCCTCAACAACAATAGCTGACCTCCAGGTCACGATTTGAATCCGACATCTCCCTAACATAAAGCAGGTGTGTTAATCACTAAATTGCAACATTGGGTACACCATTAGGAACACCCAAGAATACAAAGGGGTTGGATCTGGATGGGAGAGAACAGTTTGTGATATATGCTAATGTCAAATTACTGGGTGAATTTGACAAATCCTGAGGATCAGTGTTCAGAAATGTTATCATGGCACCTACAATTTAAAAATATAGAATACCTGCTTTTTACACATATAATATTACATGCAGTGCAATCTTTACACTTTCTTTGCAGGACATAGACGCCATGGAGCTTCATTTTGCCAAGAAATGACACATGACTAGCAAAAAAAATAAATAAATGAGATCAAATACATTCATAACAAATAATGAGTCAATAAAAATGGATTCAGTGAAAAGTTGCACAGTTTCAAGTAAATCACACAAAACAATGCTACTGACAAATACATAGATCTTTCCTCAACATACAAGATTTTAAACCACCATAATATGCTGTTAAGTTACTCAAATGTGACTGTGTAAATAAAGTTTGATTTTAATTAAACCAACACATGGAAATTATAGGACACAATGTATCAGGTCTCAACACATTAACTTCTTGTGTACTAATAATTATCCTGACTTCTTTGAACAACAGACACCCCATAAGCCCACCTGACCCTTCCAGCCATTTGAATACACCTCAAAGGCCATGCAGGATGCTTTTTAAAAACTGGCTTGAAAGCGATCTGTGGAGGACTAAATTTTCTGAGTCATATTTGACAACACTGCTACAATTCACATGGTAGCATTTTCACTTAGAACTCGTCGAACAAAGAGTTGGTGTCAAGTCCTTCTAAAACATCCAATCCTGAATTTTCAACCTCTGTCATGCGCTCAATTGACTTGGAGGTCCTTTCGCTTGATGAATTATGACCACTGGCAGAACGTCCACCACCAAAATTCAAAGACATCGAAACAGTGCAAGTTTCTTGTAAGTGGTCCATTACAGTTGTTGCTGAATGTGAAGGTCTGTGTGAGTCAGAGACATCAAATGATGTGCCGGAAGCAGCAAGAACCTGGGACGAGTATGAGGGGTGGGAAACAGCAGGTACTGGACTTCCAAAACGTGACACTTTGGGTACGAAACCTCCTTTAAATGCTGGTGCCAACTTATCAGTTCTGTTGGAATTGAGAGGAGGAGTTGGCTGTGGTTGATAGTCAAAGCCTTCACTCCCAACATTGTTTCTTTCATCACGTTGATGTAGAGAATGCAATACTTTCTGTCCAAATGAAGCAGATGTTGGCTGTAGCTTAAATTTGAATTGTTCATTACCAGAATGCTTTCCATCTTGAATCTGCTGTGGTGAATCTGACACATTCTGCCTATATAAAGCAGACTTGCCATGTAGTGGCTGTTCTGCTGCATCTGTGACTCTCCTGTTAAATGGTGTGCTGCTATTTATAATTGTAGATGCATATGACTTACCATTTAAAGAGTTTGATATGTTCATAACATTCTGCAAATTTGTTTTCCTGATCTGTACACTGTTATTTAAAGAATTCTGAGTCCTCATATTATCTTTGCTATTAACTGAGTTATACAATGTTCTATCAGCAGTTTGTGAAACTCTTGTACAACACGCCAAGTTAGGAACACTGGAAGGATTCCGTTGCCAACCATTTGGATGGGAGAATAGAGGAGAGGCATTACCTCCAATGTTCCCACTTTGTTTTAGAGCATGATGGGGTAGTGATAAATTTGCAGGACTACCAACAGTACTGAACAAGGAATTTATAGGCCTACAAGTCAGGGAGGTATCAGGTGCAGAGTGGTGTAGCTGCCACTCAGTGGCGCTCTTCAATAGTTCCCCATGAGATACATGATGTACCATTGTTCTTCTGACATTGCTGCTATGTTTGCTTGCTATTTCATCTTGTAAAACATTGCTGTAGATGTTAATGATGTTATTACAAGTCACATTGAGGTAGTGTCGTCGTGCTGTAATTCCAGTGCTAAGCACGCCCACCTGGCGAAGAACCAGGACAGCTCCAGGCTGCAGCTGTCCTCCATACAGCTCCCACACCTCACGATGTAGTGTTCCATGGACCTCCCCTTCAACATATAGCACCTAACACTCAGCTAGTTCTATATATGCAATCACCAACAAGGAGTGACTTTTCAGTCTTGTAATTTATAGAGTGACACAAATTGTTTGTCTTCCTAAACACTACACAGAATTTAAATATACACAAAAGCATTACAAATCCTACATGCATAGACAGATAAACATGAAAGCTTTCTCCATGCAGGATACAGCCCACTTATGTAATGTACCGATATGCAAATCCAAGACTAATAATTTGCTACAGCTGCCTCACTCATGGAACTGATATACTACAGATGTTCAACAACCCAAAATAAAATAATTTGCTTCTATGTAATTTACATTAAAGGAAAATAAGCCCCACCAAAAAACTGTATGTTGTGGAGTACAGCATCTTCATGTCTTATGTAAGCAACAAAATTCTCTAATTAGAAGTTAGCATAGCTATCATGTTAGTGTCAGAAATTTAAAAGTAGAATGAAAGTACAAAGTCTGGCCTCTAGGGGTATGTCAATAATAAAAATCCATAAAATGGTTCAAACCTTCAGGGGAACAGACACAATACCATTAGCCCATCATTACACAAAAATAAGGAAAGCAGAATCTTTATTCTTTCTTTCCACGAAGAAAAATAAAGATCAGCTCTTACACACAAATTCATTGAAAAAACCCAGTAACAGCGCTATTTCCCTTCTGTTGAAACATTTACATGCCTTGCTCTGTTAGGTAGGTAAGGTTCTGCTGTACCTGTTCTGTCTTGTAGAACGACACATGGATCAGGTGAGCTACAATCCAGGTCACGCAGCACTGTCACCAGGAATGGAACCTTCTGATGCCATAGCTGTCGTGCAGCAGCTCGTCGCTTAACCCACGCCACTGTAAACTGACTGAGAGGCCCACTGCTGTCACTCAACTCAAAATCCCTCAACATCTGTTGCCAGGCTGCCGTCTCAAACATTGAACTGGATGGTTGGGAGCACAAAAGGTTCTGCAACAACAGAATTACATTAGCTTCTACAGCAGAACCCAATGGCACAATTTTATGGCTTTATTACTCTTTCTGAGCTTTCATGTTTCTTCAAGAGATTTTACGTTTTCATGGCAGTGAGTCGGTAAACTTCTACCAAACAAAATGACACAGGGATTTAAATCCTGGCTGTCCAGAACTTAAGACAAACTTTTCAAATGCCTTTTCATTAAATGTTTTGAAAGTTGTTAATAGCATGTTTTAGGATGGGGTTATGACAATTCTGTGTTTGGTGGCAGAATGTCACTAAAAGTCTCACCTCATTATGGAGCATCTCAGAATCTGCTGTGGGAGATAGAACTGTGGACTGGTTCATTGCATAGTCCTGTGGGCACAGAAAACATGTTTCACATTGTGTGCAGGTCGCTGCTCTTGCTCTAACATATTTATTTTAACAATTTTCCTCCTTTCATATTGAGGTAACTCAATGCACTATTCTACAATTGAACCTTTGGTTCTACCATGTAAGAAACAAACATCATTAAGCTCTCAGAAATAACAAATAACTGCTTAACAAGAATCACCCACTTTGTCTGGTAGCAAGCCTGCTGGACCTGGAAACTTTCGCTGACGAACAGCCTGACCAGTCCTGTGACAGTGCTGTGGAGTTACATCAATGTAAGCAGGTCTCACTGTCTCTGCAAGAACAGTAACAACAGTGAGGCTAGGAGCAGTCACCAGCAACTTTCAGATCAAAGGAGGAAGTTTCAAGAAGCTCATACACAAAACAAGACGTGGCTAAACACAGCCAGACCCAATATCTTTATGAACAAAAAAAGGATAACATTAGACAATGTCAGATTTTGTATTGTTTTCACAATAAAATAACACTCATCTGTAGAAAATTGAAGTGTTCCTATGTTCCCCAATACTCAGCTTGAACTGCTTACAATTTTAAGTTAACCACTCATTTTACTTCTACCCTCAAATGGTACAACATTTTTAAATTGTAAGGTGTTATGCTCACTGTTTGTTAATTTATTTTTCTTTGTTATATAAGGCTCCTCTTCAAGTGAAGAACGTTTTTCTCCTTTCGTTCCGAGTCCTGGAATTCTCTTTGCATATTCAGTTTCTTTTTCAAATGCTCCTTGCAGAAAATCCTGCAACACACGCAATATGAAATTTGGATTCTACTTTAGTAGAAACCGTACATTAAAATCGAATATATATTCACAAGTAACTGAAATAAACTACATTAATATAGTAAAAAACAGATATTGTAATTCCGCACTGAAATAAAAATCAGTAAAGTTAAGCTGTTCCAATATACTAGTACCTCATCCAAATCAAAATCTCCATCCAGTTCGAACATTTCTTGTATACGCTATTGAGGAAAATAACATATAAATATATTACTATTTGAATAATGCTACAAAAAGCACACTACATGGTTTACGTATATAGACATTTCCACAACATTTATACATATCGCGCTGCACTATTACAATAACCTAACATTTCAAATTCCAATACGGGTCACAGATTACCAAGGATAAACACATTCAGTGACCTGATATTAAGATTAAAAACCACGGGTCACAGAATACCAAGGATAAAAAGACTTACATTCAGTGACCTGATATTATGATTAACTGGAAACGAATTTCACAGGTTATACGTAAATCAAACATTTTGTTTTAACACAAATTATAGAAGTAAATAAATTACGTCAAAATATATAGAGAATTAATCATGTTTGTGAACCCTACGGATACAATTATGGTTACAGAGATGAATAACAGCAATATTTTCAATATTTCAAACACTTTCTCTGTATCGATTTACATTGACATGCCCCAATATAAACCGTGATAATGAAATTCTTATGGCTCGAACTTCAAATTTTGATTAAAGAACTGCAGGAATAAAGCAACATGCAAGTTGTTTGCCAATTGGCAGCCTACATAACATACTTTCCCAAATGCTTGGCACAAGCAAAAACTTAAATTTAACACAGCAAAATGCCACCGCATTTTTATACCTGCATGCAGTGGCAATAACAAAAGTCACTTTCCAGTCAGAAATCAAACCATAATTACCCAGTCAATATCAAATTACTTAATGACAGCTCATAAAATTTCTTTATATTCCATATGCATCGATAGTCAGGAAGGTTTGAATGTCTCTGGGTAAAGAGAAGGATTAAAAATGTTCTCAGTTCTGTTAGTAAAACAATAATTTATTCTGTAAACAATTCAGTGAGAAGACATCTGGACGGAACGCAAGACATTCACAGAGGCACATACAACTTTAGATATCAAATTCAAACCTTCTGACTGTCCTGAAGAGGTTATGTGCAAATGGACCCTTTTGAAACCATGAAATTAAACACAAAGTTTTTCCAGATGCATCCAAACAAAACAATCTTGTACTGACAGCAATTTTATTTGTGTAGCAAAATTAAGCATAAGAATTTTCTGAGAACATTATCCATAAATGTATGTAAAATGCAATTTGAAGAACAATGTAATGGCTGCCAATACAACACTGCAATGTTCCTCTCCAGTACATACAAATTGTAACAATAATATAAAAATTATATAAAAGGAACCCTTACTCCATGTTCAATAAAGCATAACAAGTGCTGCATTCTGTTGAATTATTTACAAATAATCACCACCTTCTTACAAGGTATGTAATACAAGACAATCAGAAATATGTAGGAAAAATACTAACAGTTATATAAAACACCACTACTGGTCCCTGCAACTAACAATAGGCTCAATCTTGTCCACGCAACATCAGGAGTTGCCACAAGCAATTACAAGCATTAAATTATTTGTACATAAAGACATTTATAATTTAACAAAGAATGTAACCTTTTCATACGGGCACAGAAGGCAGAAAGTGAGATGTCTAGTGCTGACAGCATGAAACTTCATGTTCTGACAAACAAATTGTTGTGAAAGTATTTCTGTTTTAGTAAAATGTGATAACGCTATACATTGGTGTCTTTCTAGCACAGCAGTCTACAGCATATCAAACATAAAGAAAATGCAGTAATATGAACACAGTATCTTGTTTGGTACATTAGTCTCGATATGTTGGTCCCTTTACTTACGAAAAAGCCCTAAAATATGGCTTTAAAGAAACACCTCATTCCACACACAGGAATGTCACTGAAAAGCGGGTGGTAAAGAAATTTTCCACCTCTTAAGGCATCCTCCTACCTATACCACATTCTGTCAAATGTTCAAAGTGGTTTCCCAAATAACATGACAATGTGTCCAGCATACACAACCCAAGTCCACTAACACCAATATTTATGAATCCCTAGCAGCATTCCCGTCTGATGTTGCATGAACCGGGAAAGACCAACTCATTATTTTAATACCCTGTAATAAATACACAGCTAATATTTCAAGTTCCCATGGTGACAAGAAGACAAAAGTCTTCTAGGATGTTGACCTGTGCAGTCTGGTAGAAACTGATTGATGTTTCAGAACTGTTTGCTGTCTCATTGCCCTAATGATGGAAGCAGTAAGCACCTCTGAAACATCATTCAATTTCTACCAGACTGCACAGGGCAACATCTCAGAAGACTGTGAACTAAATACTTATTTCTTTTCACAATAAAAATGCTATGAAACAGTGATCCCAGCCTTACAAAGAAACAAAAAAGCTTTATAAATTTCTGTGTGTATAATGGTCAAGAAGAACCCCTCACTTATAATAGCCATCATCTCAGATCTCCCTAAATCAATGTCACAAAAATTCGATCCATAATAAATGAACAAGTCAGGAACATTATGGGGACAGAAATCTCTTAAGCATTTAAGTGCTGTATTTTTTCTCGTACTTCACGTTACCTCTTGCGATACACTTTTATTTAGAAAATCATATCTTTTTCATATTTTTCCAAATGATAGAAAATTTTAAAAGAGGAACAGGACAAACATTCCATCAATAAACATCTCTTCTTATTGCCAATTCCTTCCACTTGGTTCAACATTTCTGAATTTGTGCACCTCTCCTCCCCCCAAAATATATATATTAGAACAAAATCAATGTTATGATGGTGAAGGTTAGAACAGAGTTGAACCATTACAACAGCACTTCATTCTTACATGCTGAAAAGAAGGCACTGAATTAACATTGCTACTTAGCCTGCTAATAAAGATAAAGAGTGTATGCTTGGTCCCACATGGCACAAAATTATACAGTAACCAAATACAATTAATACTGTCCACGTTAATATATGTCTTAGCAATATTAAAACTACTTGCCATCACTACACGCAGCTCAATACTGTGTGGCTGTAAAACATGGTCTGCCACTCTGAGGAAGTAACGTAACATACATGCTATAGAAAATAAATGGACATAAGACAGAGAGAAAATGTAGAAAATTGAGGATTTTATAATAATTATCAACGCTGTACATTTTATGTGGTTCGGGTTATGATAGGATAAACATATAGCACCCAGGAGACAAGGAATGCAAACAGAATTTTGGTTAGGAAAAATTACCACTTGCAAGACCAAGATGGCATTGGAGAATAATATTAAATGTGACTTCACAGGGAAAATAGTTTGTGAGATGTAACCTGGCCAGGATCGAATCAGTCTTTACTCCTGCCACTGTGTGTGTCTTGACTAACAGATAACATAAACCTTCCCACGGATGCTACGTTATTCATTTTGAGTAACAGATCAAGTTTTACACTGATAAAGTTGTAGTTTTACATACCATATAACAATCTTTCAGTTTTTAGATAAAACAGGAGACACCAGATTCTGAAAGAAATAGTAGACTGCACTTTCTGATTTTAATTTCACTGTGAATATCACGATGCTGCATACTTTTAGCTAGAAGTAGCAAAGAAAATTTGTTAACAATCTTATTATCATTCCTACCAACACAAACTTTCTGATCAAAGTATGCTTCAGCCTCATGAAGGAGAACAGCATGAATGGATAAACATGAACTATAATGTAATACCAATCAGTGCGTGTGTGAGAGGGGGTGGGGGATGAGTATGACATCAACAACTTGGAATCTGAACTTGCCTCATCCTTATTTAATCTTTTTCCAAAATATTAGGGAATGTGTAATTGCTATTTCACATTCTAAGAACCAGCACTCTACATATTACAGTACATTTTACAGAAACTTTAGTAAGCACAGAACACAGCTGCTAATACTTAACAAAGCCATCAGATGCGTCCTTCAAGAGGCCAAGCTTAGAATTATTAAATTTATGTTTATATAATTTCTAAAGAAAACCATGGAAATCTAAATGAAATGAACCAGAATGGACCCACACATCTTTGAAAGGGCAGGCAAAAATTCAAGAAGGAAATTTCATACAAATACAAAAGAACAGTGCAAGCCCAAAATAAGAGGTGACAGGTAAATTAACTATAGCCAAGTTCCCCACACTACACTGAACTTTACAGTCTCACACATTATATTTATAATACAGTACTATACAGAGCAGTCCTTCTTGGGAAACTAATACCCACAGTCTCACACATTATATTTAAAATACAGTACTATACGGAGCAGTCCTTCTTGGGAAACTAATACCTGCTTAGATGATCAAAACAATCCTTGCCTAAACACAATCTGAAGGTTTATTACTCTGTTCAAAAGAGCCACCATTGGACCCTAATTTGATCCATATGGATTCAGTCCACACCCACACATCCTCTCTTTAAAATTTAATCTAATATTCTCCCATCTATACAGAGATCTTCCAAGTGGTCTTTTCCCTTCAGGTTTTTCTGACTAAAATTTTGTATGGCTTTCTCATTCTCCCATGTTACACGTTTCATTCTTTTCAACAAGTTTTTTACTGGTGTGGCTAATGCTGCTCATTAGATCTCAGCAATGGTGAAGGACTCCATTTCCAACGTGGAGGTACCTACCCCGTACGGCAGGACACAGATTCGACCTGCAATATAACACATGCTCTGAACCTCTGACAGAACCTTGTAACCTACAGTATGATTGCAACTCGTAAATTTCAAATCACATTTTATTTTAAGGCTTGAACACTGGCCACAAAATATCTCCAAGCCTGAGCTACATCATAGCAAAAGGGGTAGGGATGAAGGGGCAGGAGGGAGCAATACATGCTATGCAATATTACTTGACCATCTCCTCTTGTTCCCCAGGCTTCAGCTGGCTGGCCAACTCACGTGTGTATTTGCAACAGTCAGTAGAGCTCGGAGATATCTTGCAACAACTGTAATGTACTTCCTTCCCTTTACTTGCAGCAACCTCGACCCTTTCCTGCCAGTGACACAGTGCTAGACCTGTCACTGTCCAACATGACATGCCTGAATGATGATTTTCTATCATTTATGTTATCTTAAGAAATCACCTATGTAAAATAAATAATTTTAAACACTTTCTTCTTCATATGAGGTCTCTTTCAAGAAGTGGGCTGTAGCAACAGGAGGGACACAACACATCTGGTTCACTTCACTGCCTCGACAGGTTTTCTTCTCTGCAGTGACTCATGCACGCTGTCACAGCTCCGTAGTGATGACAGTCTTGCGATGTATCGCTGATTGCTCGTGTTTTAGTGGCTTGGTAGTTGTCTCATTGGTGGCAGAAGTGTCAGGAGCCACAAGCCATGGCGAAAGCTGGTTCAGGCTCGGTATGGAGCCACTCAAGTTCAGTTTCGAGGTCTGCTTGCTCGCTGTTGTCGCGCTGCTGGTATATGGCGACTCCTGCGACAAAGACACACACTCACTATTAAAATATACTGTATGAGTTCGTGAATTCTTAATGCAGAAGTTCTTCATCATTACGACAAGCTTAATGAATGCTCCATGGTTCACACTATTTAGAGTAACATAGCCAAGAAGAAATTCTCTGCTTTTACAGAAGTGAAGTCTTCAACTTCCAAGACTAGCCCTTTCAAGCATACCAACTGGGAAACTTACCCTTGAAACCTTGCACTGGCGGGTCTCACCGGTGGCAACGGACGGTTTCTTATCAGCCACTGGAGAGCTCTGTGTTACAGGAGACAGTGGAACAGCAGGTGATTTAGGGGAGACAGAAGAGGACTTATCAGACACACTATCAAGGCTGTCAAGTGGTGTATATGACTTACTGTTCTCAAATTCACTGAACGGATTTGACACAGGGGAGAGAGACAGGAAAGGGTTTGGCTTATCTGATGATGCTCCATGGAACGGATTTGTAGGTGGCAGGGATTTGGATTCAGTCGGAGATAATTTGGATGTTGTGAACAGGTTGATGAAAGGGTTGTTTGAGTTCAGGACAGGTGGGAGAGATAGCTGCGGAGATTTTGGGGATTGCGGTGCAGGATTGATGACCTTAGGAGACAGACATGGGGCAGTGTGATTGCTGGAAGTTGTGATCACACTGAGGGCTGGGGGTATCACAGATTTCTTGCTTGTTGCATCCTCAGTGTTGGATTGGTTCAGAGTGTTCTTACTATCGAGTGACAGTGACGGGAGTATTACACGCTCCAGTTTGCCATGGTCAGACCACGAAAAATGTGTCACAGTCACAGGAGTAGTGCAGCGTTTCTGTGACATCCTGTTGCTATCATCAGTCTCATCCTGTGAGGGATCCTCAGCATGAGCACCATCTGGTATGGCACTAGGGCCAACAACTGTGGAGTTCACACCACCAAGGGATAAGGTGAGCTTATCACCACCCTGTAGCAATGTGCATATAAAGCAGGTATCACCAACACAGCAAAAAGAAAACAAAAAAAGCGATTAGAAGCAAAATAAAAGCACACATCGGCACAATAATTATCTTGTATAAAAAACAGAACTCATCTGAACACAAATTTGCATGGAACACCCAATGGTAAATAATCTGCCATTGTACATTCCCCATACATCAGTCCCAGACTTACCACTATTATCCATTATGACAGACATAAACATATCAAAAGCAGACATACATATTACAGTGTTAGAAACCTGCTTCTGGACTGATGAACATAGAAAGTTACAAGCAACAGGAGAAAAAGTTTTTAAACTGTATTAAAAACACAATCAGGAGATGAAGAAGAAGACTGTCTTCTGGGATGTAGACACTGCAGGAATTTACTGTTGCCATCACCAAAATTCAACCTCATGATGGAGGCAATAAGATCCTCTGAAGAAATGGTCAATATCACTACATTACACAGCTCTACATCCTAAAGTACAACCATATTCATATTTCTCACCATGATAACGTCAAAAGTTTACAAAGAATTGACAAAATATTAAATTAAGGCATTACGCAACAACTGAAAGTAGACAATAAATTGGTCAGCACATGCCAAAGGTAGACATTATGCAAGATTGAGACTATCATGAACAAGATGTTCATCAGTCACTGGGAAGACTAAGTGAAGGCAGACATACATATTGGACACAGTGGATGCAGACACAAGAACGATGCTTATATGACGATGACTCAAAAGGCTTCATTACAGGACAATCCACACTGAGGGATATGTTAGTGGATGATACGGTGTTTGAAGCTATGACAGCGCAAACACAATGTAATTTTCTCGGTTGTCATCTGTATCAGCACTGGTTTAATTTCCAATATTTTGGAGACTAATGTGATATCAATTATAGATGCTAGAGGTAGGTAGACAGTCTCTGAAATGTTGAAAATTAATTTGATAATGACACAGCTAACATCTGAGAATACCTCACTGTATTAATAGACAATTATAATAAATGTACATCAGATAAAATCACCAGTTCTGACATTAAACTTTGATTTGTGCTGCACATATTATAGCAAACAGAATAAGAATAACCTGACAAATGAATGTGGTGAAACAAAAACATAACTTTTCAGGTGAAGAAAAACCAGTTCTAGATGTCTCTGCGGTAATGTATGCAACTCAGTTTTACACTGCGTCACCGAATAGAAAGTGCATAACTCAGTTTTCACTCAATTTTTGTTACCAAGGAGAACTTTGCAAGTGTATAATTTTGGTCAAATCTTTACTTTACCATCCTTCCCATTAACACCGCCACAAGGAAACAGAACAGACCTCCAACACCAACATTTACTGAAAAACGCTGGGTGACGTTATAGATAAAACATCTCAACACCCCAGCCCAATATGATCCTTCCCAATAAACTTTTATTTTAAGCAGAAAACAGAAGTGTGACTATTCAGTAATCACATTATATTTGCTTCCGACACTTACCACAGACACAAAAGTGGCGCTGAGTGTATCCAGAGGTGACTCCACACACAGCTGCTGTTTCCTGCTGCAACACAAAGTCATATAAATTCTGGCATTTCAGCTGTGAATACATTTGTTAAAACTTGAATTGAGATTATACAGATAACACAGGCAAACATGAAGAACCAAGTTCTAAGGAAGAGTTATTGAATATTTAATCATTACTCTCCCCCCTCAAAATAAACCAACATGATTATAGTTTGTACCATGCGAGTGATGACCGAATCCTTGCGATTGTGAAAAGACCTCACACCCTTCTTGCATAATGAGTGAGCCTCTCACACTGATTCGGTCTTCAAAGATCATGTTACTTCTGTCCTACATTCCAGCAATTTTAAGATTAGCGGTGAACTCCACTTGTGGTACTTCGCTTATTTTCTTCTGTACACTTCAATAATGTGAAGCAAAAACAAAAAAATGAATTTCACAATTGTGTAAAGTTTACCCTTAATAATCGGAATTCCTCGAGTCCTGTGCAAGATTTAGGGACTGTAACATGAGAATCAAGCAAAATCTCTGCTCCCAAAACTAACACAAAGTCATAAATGTTCATACCAGTGTTTGTATAAAAAGAACCAGGAGCAGAAGTTAAGGAAAGAAAAAGAAACTCTGAGACGATGGACTTTTCAAGGCTTTAAAAACCTGGTATTGGGGGGGGAAAGAGAAGAAAACAGCAATGATTTCATAAATTTGCTATGCCCCTCCAATACTCAACCATGTACACCCTGTAAAATAATTTCTGTGACTCAGTTATCAATAAGCTTACAGTATTACCAACCCATTGAGTAAGTTCTTCTCAGTCCCACGCTCATCCCGGTTGTTCAGGTCACCAGAGAAAGGTGTCTTCTTCAGCTCCTCCTCCACTTTTGCTGCAAAGAGCAGAAAGAAGTCCTTGGTTACCAGCTAAATGATTCAAAATACTTTGCACCGCATACATCCAGACATAAAACAATTTCTGGTCGCCACATAATTCTATGCCAAAAAATATGCCCTACGCAGTATTACTGTGGGCAGTACTCTCTTTTAATAACCCTCCGATAACTGGCACTTCAAGGGACATTGCCACATTGAGTTTCTTAACGCACAAAATCAAATCCTGTTGCCTGTACCATTTCTGATCACATCAAATAATTTTAGGTTCTATTCATTCATGTTCTGCCAAAACATTTTCCATCATCATCGTTGAATGAAACGCTTTACCACTGCACCTGGGGCATGGAAGAGGAGGCCTGACCAGCCATTATGTTATTACAAAATAGGTTCTTGACCGAGATTCACTTCTGACCAGGAACCTGGATAGACTAAAAGCAAACAAGTGAGATACCCATCAAGGCTACTTATAGGATGATTTTAAACAATGACACAAAAATGTAAAATGGATGAAATATAATAACACGAGATCTTTAAACAAGGAACATTATATGAAAATTTAATTTATCCTGCTGATGTCCTGTATTAGCAGTATATTTTACCTACTGCACAGCTGTTTCAACGTTCATTGTCACCACTGATTTTAAATTAAAAAAAAAACAGAAACATAAAAATCAAATAAGGAAACCAAAAAAGCATCACAAAATGTTTTGCCTAATAACAAGGTACACAGGACACACTGCATGCTAAGCTGACATACGACACACTCCCACCAACCAGCACAAGTGGGTTATGTGACTGTTGGACTCAAAAAGCAAGCATACATCAGAGTCGCGTGTATTCCCTTCAAATATATGTAGTACCTAAGTTAAACTCTTAGGACAAAGTTAATCTAAGTAAAATCTAAGATTTTAATTCTTACCACAAAGAAAACACTTTACCATTAGAGATCAACTGGTTAACACCGTTCAAGGAAATACTCGCTCTTCAGTGAGAATCATACAAAACACATTAATGCATTCTGTAGGTAGAATGAAGAGTTACTGATTGTTAAAATGTGTTATATATAGTTACCACTGTGTTTTATAGGCATATATTAGTCTACATATAATGTTTAGGAAACATCCTGCACTTGTAGTCTCGGTTTGAATTCATATGCCAGGCACAGAGGATCTCCCTCCATCCACAAAGAATTTTTGCCCCGCTGTGTGTCACATCGAACAGCCCACAACCAGCAAGCCAAAGCAAATGATTAACAGCATTGTACCTTTCAGAATATTGCACTTGAGCTGGTCGGGGGGGAGCGGTCGAGCCCCAGCAGAGCACCCAGAGTATTTAGTGTTCTGATTGTTGGGGAGCACTGTCACCAGCAGCGAGGTTGGCCCCACTGCAGTCTCCAGTTCTATGACACAACAATCAACACAAATAACAGAATCAGAAACTTTGCCCCTTACACTCAGATAAAATCACAAGTTGAAGTGTAAGAAAAGAAAATATGTATATTTATACATTGCATAAGAGAGGGGATGTAAAGGAAGAACAGAAAAAAACAACAACTTAATAACGAGCTTCACAATTTGCTAGTTCTTAAGTATATGGTAAAATGGGTGAATCATAAGCATACACACAGAAGTTTAGAATGAAATTCTAATGGAAAATACCATTTGGACACCTCGTGTATTGTGGAAAGATAATATGAAATAAAGATGACACTCGCAAGAAATGGCTTAGGACAGGGCTTTTGTGAACACACTGACAAAATCTCACGTTCCATAACACGAAAATTTCTTATTCACAAGAATAATAACTGACGACTGAAGGACGGCAGTGCTGGGTTACGGGCTGAACAATGGGAAAAGCTGTTGTGTTTAGTGAGCAGAGTTCTGACAATCAAAAAGGGCAGATAAATTCCTTAGGGCATCACCTAACAGCCAGTGCAGTTGGCACCCATAACACAACACAATCTGTTCTTAACAATGAATGCACCAAAAGATGAGGGAAAGCAAGAACTCACCATCAGTCTTACTGGACGATCCGCACGTTGATGAGGCATCATTCAGTGACTCATCAGTGTTCAGGTTGTTCAATGGCTCCTTCACCAAACTTTTGAGCAGTGAGTCTAGATGTTCCTCAGCCGCTGCAGCCACTGCATACAGATGACCTCAAAATTCACACACCTTCTTATATGTTTAAGGATGTTACAAAGTTTCAATGGGGAAAAATTCTGCTACAGAAAAGTGGTCAGACTTAAGAGAGATGCAGACACTGGTTCTCATTGCAGTGATTTGTATTACCTGGTGTGGCGGTCTTGTTCCTCTTTAGAGTTCCCATGCCACTGCTGACGGTTGACGCGGCTGGACTGCAGGTTGAGTTGGCAGAACTTGGCACAGTACTTGGAGTGGTGGGTTTCGAGAGGCTGCCTGCTGAAATGTCTTCCATGGGACGGATAGTCTGTCTCGAAGAGCTACTGGATGTCTCACTTGGTTCAGCTGTCATGACTGGGGATGACTTGACAGGTGGAGGCACATCACTGGAACTGCTGCCTGTCTCTGCGCTGGTATGTGAAGTAGCTACAACTGCAGTGCTGTTCCTAGACATGTAGAAGGACACAGAGCTTATGAAATTCACGCATATTTGTAGACATTAGGCATAATGCGCACAGCCTTCATATAGGATTTGAGGTTTTCACAGCAATGAGTCTGAAGAAGGCCTTCTTCTAAGTTGTTGCACCCTGTAGTCTGGTAGAAGTTTACCGATTTTTCGGAGGTCCTTGCTGCCTCCAACATCGCCCTGATGATGGAAGCAGGAAGGACCTCTGAAACGTCGGTAAACTTCTACCAGACTACATCGCATGACAAAGATAGCCATCTTCTTGCACAGTCTTCAGTTTGACACCTCCATGCAAGTGCCTAACTTCATTCAAAGATTTTCATGAAGATAACCTTTCATGCCAATGTTTATGTAAATAACATTTAAACATTCAGTTCGTACCTCAAAGAAAATGTTTACAATATCTACAATATTAAGTCTGATCAGTATAATATTATACAGGAGTCTGAAGAAGAACTGTTATGAGAATTTTTAGTGAAGACAATTCAATAGCTGGAGTGTTTATTTAAAACTCTCATACTGGCCAACAGGAGCAATCAAAGGATATACACAGCTTATACTGATTTGTTACCAGTTTTCTACCCCATGGCACTTACTTCTGCCGCTCTCGCAGGACGTGGGACTGGCGACGGGCATAACGCTGACTTGGCCGACGCTCAAATTGCACTGTACGGCGTGCTCTGTTCTGCTGTGTTGTCTGGAACTCAGTCTTGCCACTAAAATAAACATCTGGGTCACTAACCACTTGAAATCTATACACTCTGTTGAGAAAAACCAAGTCATGGCAATAAACCAAATTTTGGGTGTTTAACCCATGACTGCCAAATTGTAATGGCATTATCATTTTACAATTTACACACCATTTCCTTCACAACACCAATACTAACAACAGAACAAGCACAAAATTCCCTATTCCTCTGCAATCATTTATAAATACACACCTGTATCGGAACCTGGAACCCATGCGGAAGAAGTTCTGTCTTGCAGACGGTCCCTTCACAGGTGATCGCAGACGGAAGAAGGCATGGTGCTCTACTGCACACTTCCACAGATGCTTGCACGCCTTCTCGTTGTGCAACCTAGTGACAGGCATGAGAGTGTTGATGATTAAATACACAGGCTGCAAAATGGAGAGGAAACACACAATGAGGAGGCCACGATGAACCAAACGTAACATTCAAGGATATAACAAGAAATTTACACATACATTTGAATGGAAGGAGAACAAACCCAGAGTATTATTAAAATGGATCTTACAGAAACAGTATGTTACATAAACTGCTTCTGGGCAGGCTTCTGTAATGGCAGCGATGAAACTTCAGGTTCCATATATGTAGGACATTTCTTGATCAGCTTATAACTATCATACCTTGAGTTTTGATTCAACAAATGAAATACAAAATGTGCTAACCTGAAGACGAATGTGTGTTCCTGTTCGCGCCCCTGATCATCATCCTCCACTACAACCAGTGTCAGTTTCTTCTTCTTGAAGTCTAGTTTTCCAATCTTAGGCCTGCAACAAGGTCACACTGTTGCAGTGGTTGCCACTACTGTGTGACTCCTACTGAATGCTGCCCAGTTCATGAGCAGTTCAGTAACATGCCTACGGTATATTACAGTATGGGAATAGAACTGCAGATGTGCATTTTAAATGAGTTAATATCTTCTCATTTAAAGCACAAGAGATGCAGCTGATACAGTATTCTTAAATAATCTACCAACTTCTAACACAGTACTCAGTCACTTTCTCTCAAATTTATCACCTTTAATCTGTTACCACACAACCTCCATATTTCATGAACTGTCATTAAAGGAATAACCATATTTTCTCAAAGCATGCCACTTAAAACACATGACCATCAGAACAAATCAATTTCACCACTCACCAGAAAAAGAGGCCAATCTTCTGGATGCCTTCAAACACCAAGATCCCAGTCGGAGTAAGGCCCAGTGAGTACTCGCATCCATCCTTACCCTAAATTACCATACCGCATTCAATGAGATTGATCCTCATAAGATAAATTAGTCCTGAACAATACATACTACAACTTACCTTCTCTCGACATATTAGCACTAAGACAAAAAGTAACAGAATTATGATGTCAGTGATTATGGCGGTTTTCAGTCTTGTAGGTGGCTACACTGAAAACAGAGGAGATATGTTCCCCTGAAGGGCGAGTAAACACCCACAAGACTGAATGTCATCAAAACACAGAATATCTCAATCACCCAACATGAAAACTTCTTTTCTGCAAGATATATGCCTCTGGGGCTCAGAACATTTAAAGTTTCAAGTTGTAGGCACTACAAACAGAGGTTCAGCTAAGACAGAAAGATCCAAGCTGCTTCAGAGTTTAATCTTAGCACCAATCATTCAATGCACAAGGCACTGTGATTTTATACAGTGTTAAAATAACCTCTGAACACACAAATTTTCATGAAAACCTCATTCAAAAGCTATCAGCATGCAATATATATGACATAATAACACCATAAGTTAACTTAAAAAGTATGTCATATAGAACACGTTCTTAAAAAATAAATCAAATGAAAATACAAAATATTCAACGTCCCACTCACCAGAACTGTGTGGTTGTCCACGCCGTACATCTCCAGCCACTTCACCTTGTTCAGATAGTTCACCTCGGCCTGAGCAGGTGTCAACCCCCTACAACACAGCACACCTTCAAACACAATTCTTCAACTTGCCTGTTGCACACTTTGGTAGTGGGGCTTGTGAGCAAACAGAAAAGAAGTGGTCGACAGTCTCAAAATATATATCAACTCAAATCAGGACCATTTCAAATTGAACATAAATGCAGCACTCACCTCTTCTTGTGTTTTTTGAACTTCAAAACAAACAAACCATCATAACATATAAACACCCCCTACAGAGACAAAGTTATCTGAATATTCCCATTACATGTTCACTGTCATGTTATGGTATTTCTTGATACAAACTCCTCCAAAAAATGACAACCAATAGGGTCCAATTATTTTGTATGAATTTAAGAAATACTGGGCCTCCCTTAAGGTGCATGTATTTAAAAACAAGAAAACCTAATCTACTAGAGACACTTTCACCTTCTGACTGCATGATTATCAGAACTGCTGGATTCAATCTCACATAATTACTGCCAAGTGTCAGGCCGAGTCGCACACAGGAATGTACCGGGTTAAACAATGTCTACCCGATCAATGAGACATAATGTAATGAGGAAAGTGCCCATACAGAACAGTGGTCATGCAGAAATGTGAAGGACAATCCTCACACCTGCATTTCTTGAATTCCTCCAACACAGCGATCTCCATTTCCTCAGTCTGGTTTGGTACGAAGTGGAACTCTGACACCACAGCTGGTGTATGGTAACCCTCCTCATAGTCCCCTAGTTCAGCTGTAGAGAGAGACATCATTAAATAGACCACAGACGCAGTTTGCAGATACAAATCAACTGAATTTCACTACAAAATGTAAAAATAATCAGGATGGTGCAGTAAAAATGTTGTAGGCTAGCATTAGGTCTTCACCCAGTTCAAATCGTAGAAAGGTTTACTGACAATACAGACTGGAACATTTTGTGGTTCTCTCACTTGCTCCAAGTAGAAGCCACAATATTACATTGAAATAGAATAAGATGGAAGGTGCATGAAAGATGAGAAATGTTAGAAAAATCCAAGATGAACACATTGAAGGGAAGCAACAACTCAGAAAATACAAATACATCAAGTCCTACGAGACATGCAGAAACACGACGGAGCACGCTGGAACTCAACACATCTCAGCACTCTCAAATCTAAGTAAGACGACTCACACTGGAGAGCCAGGGCTGACAACTCAACAGCTGTCTGGTACACGCAATCAAGTCGTCCCTGCAAAATGTCCTGTTTCAGTTGCAGGAAGAACTGATAGCGTGTCAATTCTTCACGAAGGCTGTTTGGTTCCGATGAGTAAAACTTCACCTTGAGGCGCAGCGTGTAAGGAGGGCCAACTGCAACAGCAAACAATACACTATATAAATATTGCATGCCGACCCAGGTCCATGTTTAAAGCTGTTTATGGGTTCAGACTATTTCACCCCATGAAAGGAAGTGTTTTCTGATAAAACATACCAATAATAATTATTATTATTTATTTAGTGTT